GAACCCACAGAGAAAGGCGCGGGCTTGAGTGGGAAATTCTACAACTAGGAAAGGAAAGGAGAAAAAGCACACTGAGACCTCAGAGGGAGGGTGCAAGAAAGTGCAAGAGGTTTTGGAGGAGCTTGCGGGCAAGGGGCTGGCGACTGGAGGACCCGGCTGTTTTTTTTGAACCGGGAAGGGAAGTCCCAAAGCCCCCTTACTGCTCTGAATTCCCAGTTTCCGGGGTGGAGTCTCTGGGGGACCCAGACTCAATACAGGGGAGAGACTGGGACTTTCTGGCAGCGGAGCCTGGCCTTTCTGCCAGGGGCAAGACCTTGAACTTCGGGGGCGGTTTTTCTTCGGGGGGGGGGGGGGGGTTCTTGCAGCGATTACCAGGACACTGAGACGCGGGGCCCTTAGGGCAGGGCTGAGAATCAGCGGCAGGGCTGAGATCAGCCATAGCTGCTTGCTCTGAGACCCCGCCCCACCCAAGCTGCAGCAGAGGCTTTTGCATATGAATGCCCTGGCCCTTTGCAATCTAAAATTACCTAACAAACTGCACCTGGGCCAGACAGACCCAGAACTTCCAAGAGAAGGCCCAAGGCCCCACAGCAGCTTGCATTGCTTCACAGCTGGGCCTCATTTGGGCACCTCCAAACCCCAAACAAGGAAGGGGAAAAACCTGGGTAGCCTCAGGCAGAGGCTAAATTAGCACCTCCTTAGACCCAAGAGCCAGTGTACCCAGTGGTCAGAGTGGGACCATCCAATTACAACTCCTCAGATCCATAAGGGACACACTCAGGGGGCAGACTCAGTGAGCAACAAAGCCCCACTGAAGCAAGTCTTGCCTCATAAGGGTGTCTTCAGCACAGAAGTTCTCCCACCGTAGACACAGCTGACTCTCACAGCCAATTGGCCTGGAGGTCAATTCCTCCCAGTGATACCTACAACAATCAAGGCTTAACTACAACAAGACTCTGCTCAAAGCCCACAAAGGGGTGCACCAAGAGTGTCCACCTCAGGTAATTGGGGAGGCTGAGCCACTGGGCCCTATAGGACACCTAGCACACAAAGCCACTCTATCAACACAGGGAAGCATAAAAAATGCGGAGACAAAGAAACAGGTCACAAATGACAGAAATGGAGGAAAGCAAACTACTGGACATAGAGTTCAAAACTACACTTTTAAGGTTTTTCAAGAACTTTCTAGAAACCGCCGATAAATGTAGTGAGACCCTCAAGAAATCTAGTGAGACCCTCGAGGTTATGATAAAGGAACAACTAGAAATTAAGCATACACTGACTGAAATAAAGAATAATATACAGAGATCCAACAGCAGACAAGAGGATCCCAAGAATCAAGTCAAAGATTTGAAATACGAAGAAGCAAAACACACCCAACTGGAAAAACAAAAAGAAAAAAGAATCCAAAAATATGAAGATAGTGTAAGGAGCCTCTGGGACAACTTCAAGCGTACCAACATCCGAATTATGGGGGTGCCAGAAGAAGAGAGAGAGCAAGATATTGAAAACCTATTTGAAGAAATAATGACAGAAAACTTCCCCTACCTGGTGAAAGAAATAGACTTACAAGTCCAGGAAGTGCAGAGAACCCCAAACAAAAGGAATCCAAAGAGGACCACACCAAGACACATCATAATTAAAATGCCAAGAGCAAAAGACAAGAGAGAATCTTAAAAGCAGCAAGAGAAAGACAGTCAGTTACCTACAAGGGAGTACCCATATGATTGTCAGCTGATTTCTCAACAGAAACTATGCAGGCCAGAAGGGAGTGGCAAGAAATATTCAAAGTGATGTATAGCAGGAACCTACAACCAAGATTACTTTATCCAGCAAAGCTATCATTCAGAATTGAAGTCAGAGCTTCACAGATAAGGAAAAGCTAAAGGAGTTCATCACCACCAAACCAGTATTATATGAAATGCTGAAGGGTATTCTTTAAGAAGAGGAGGAAGAAGAAAAAGGTAAAGATAAAAATTATGAACAACAAAGTGACAACAAATACATATCTATCAACAAGTGAATCTAAAAATCAAGTGAATAAAAAATCTGATGAACAGAATAAACTGGTGAATATAATAGAATCAGGGGCATAGAAAGGGAGTGGACTGACAATTCTCGGGGGGAAGGGGCTGTGGGGGTGCGGGAAGAGACTGGACAGAAATCGTACACCTATGGACGAAGACAGTGAGGGGGGTAAGGGCAGGGGGTGGGGTGGGAACCGGATGGGGGGAGCTATGGGGGGGAAAAGAGGAACAACTGTAATAATCTGAACAATAAAGGTTTATTTTTTAAAAATCGTTTTTCTTGAAATAAAAAAAATTTTTTTTAAAGCTATGGTACATTTACACCATGGAATACTATGCAGCAGTAAAAAAAAAAAAAAAAAAAAAAAAAAAGGATCTCTTACCCTTTGAGACAGCATTGAGGGACCTGGAGAGTATTATGCTAAGCAAAATAAGCCAGTCAGAGAAAGACAAATATCACATGATCTCACTCATATGTGGAATCTAATGAATAAAATAAACTGATCAATAAAATAGATCCAGAGACACAGAAGTATAGAACAGACTGTGGAATCTCAGAGGGAAGGTGGGGGAGGGTGGGTGGGTGAGAAGAGATCAATCAAAGAACTTGTGTGCGTATCTACATAACCCATGGACACAGATAATAGGGTGGTGAAGGCCTGGGGTAGGGGCGGGCTAGATGGGGTCAATGGAAGAAAAAAGGGACATATGTAATACTTTCAACAATAAAGATTTAATTTTTAAAAATTTTAAAAAGAGGACCCAAATAAATAAAATCAGAAACAAAAAAGGACAAGTAACAACTGACACTTCAGAAATGCAAAGAATCGTAAGAAAATATCATAAACAACAATATGCCAACAAATTCAACAATCTCATAAATAATAAATTACTAGAAACATACAATCTTCCAAAACCGAATCAAGAAGAAACAAAAAATCTGAACAGATTGATGGCCCTGGCTGAGTAGCTCAGCTCCTTAGAGTTTCGTCCCAACGTTGTGGGTTTAATACCCACTCAGGGCAGATATAAGAATCAATCAATAAGTGAAACAACAAATCAATGTGTATGTGTGTGTGTATATGTATATATATATATATATATATATATATATATATATCAAGTCAATCAATAAAAATTAAGGATATGTATATTAGCAAACTGAATCCTGCAACAAATTAAAAAGATCATACACCATGATCAAGTGAGGTTTATTCCTGGGATGCTAAGTTGGTACAATATCCACAAATCAATTAATGTGGTACACCACATAAACAAAATGAAGGTTCAAAATCATATGATCATATCAATAGATGCGGAAAAAGCATTTGATAAAATCCAGCAACCATTTATGATAAAAACTGTCAGCAAAGTGAGAAGAGGGACCATACAGCAACATTACATAAGGCAATGTATGACAAACCCACAGCTAACGTTATACTCAGTGTGGGCACCTCTCTCAGTTCTGGTGCTCTCTGCTGGGGAGCCCAGCTTGGGGTTCAGACCCCAGAGTTCTCAGTGGGAACCCCCCACAGCTGAGACAGCCCTCTGGTACTTCCGCTGCTGGCTGTAGGAGCCCAGCCAGCCCTTTCACTCCTCCCGCCTCCCTACCAGTCTCTATGCGGTCTCCGCTTTCCGTCCTCGGTTATCAGGGTTCTCTTCAGCTGGTCCTCAGTTGATTTTCAGAGTGGTTCTTCTGTATTTTAGTTTTATTTCCAGTTTGGTCCTGGGAGCATGTCAGTGTAGCTTCCACTTACTCCGCCACCATTTTGGAGTCCACTACAAACATAACTTTAAATAAAAGGAACAATTTGAAGTATATATCAATATACTGACTTTAAAAATGGGCCTGAGAATAAAACACCAAATTCAGAATCGTGCTTACCTGTGAGGGAGATATGAGAATGTATTGAATATGTGTATGTTTTTAACTAGGCAGAGGTGTTCCTATATTATTTTAAACATATTGTTTCTTAAAACCCTAGAATAAAAAACATTGAGAAGCAACATAAAGAATAATGTATTAGCACTATTATTGTGTTAGCAACTAAAACAATAATATGCTGCAATGTTCAAATAGTTAATAACAGGGAATTACTACCAAGGGGGGAAAAATTATAGTAAGCTTACGTCAAGTTTTGACCCATAACAAATCAAAGAGGACTAAGCATCATTAACTGCTATAACCACATATCTCACCCTCATCTAATCCTTATAGAAAGAATAAATTGCCTAAGAAATAAGTTAGTATACCAGATCTAATTAACATTTGACAAGTTACATGTCATTTATTAGATTGGCCATGAGAGGGCCCCAAACAGCACAGCAAAAACCTTCAAGTTCAAAAGATCTCAAAACCAAGTTGAAGAGCAAGAATATATTATACTGACATACAGGTGGGAATACTTAGATATATTCAAATTAAATGTATAAACTTACTATGATAATGACCTCCCCTGTCTCAAATCTTTGGGTTTCTCTCCAATAGTTTCTTCCCCTTTAGCTTCAAATCTTTAAAAACAAAACAAAACAAAAAACAAAAAACAAAAAAAAAACTTCTATGTTGCTTGTCCTTGTTCTCACTTCCCATTTATCCTTTTACCCATTTAAATATGGCTCTTACTCCAAACATTTTGCTATGACACTATTTTGCTATGGAAGCAAACAACCTGTAACAGTCAAATCCAAAGGTCATTCTTCAATCTTTGTCCAACTGCCATTTGAAATTATTTATCAAACCCTCGTTTTCTTAAAACATTCTACTTTTTTGAATCTGTGAGACCATCAAATTGGAATTCTTTTGTGTTTAAAAGACAAGTAATTATTGATTTATTCATTTAGTCACTCGTGTAACAAATATCGACTCAATGCTACAAGCCAGGCATTAATGCTAGGTACTGGGAACTCAACAATAACAACAAGGATCTTTAATAGTCCAATGGGAGACATAAAATGACAATCATAAAACAGTAATATCGAGCTACCACAGGATTAAATGCAGGGTGTCCTTACAAGGGAGAAGCCTGGGGCAACTCAACCATTATCTGCAATTTTAGTGACAAAATTTTAAAGCTGAATTTAAATATTCAGAAAAAAAGGAGTACATATAGGCCCTGAGTCATCCCGATATCCCACCCCAACGCAGGACCCAGGAAAGCAGTCTGAGCTGTCTTACCCAAGGGAAAGGCCTGCTACAGGTAACCTCCAAAATGGTTAATGAGTGTAAGACACTCGCTGCTTCTGTGTCCTAAGTGCCCTGCAATCTGACTTCCATTTGCCATCTCTATTAAGACAATAGTAAAGTCCAAATTGTATAAGCACTCACAGTGCTTGACAACTGTGAAACTGTCCTGAGTTTTTAGAACACTCCACTTTCCTAACTAGTTCTTCTACCTCTCTGAATTTTCTCACTTCTTCCTTGGCCCATCCCTTCTTTTCATTCCACACAACTCTGCAGAATTTATCTAATTCTATTCATTTAACTACTAAATACCCGATTTTGCTTTACCAATACATAACTGAACCAACTACACCCCCTAACATCAGACATATTTTTAATATCACTTTATTTGAGACAATCACAGTAGATTTAAAAAAGCAATGTTCTTTTTATTTAGCCTTTCTTTTAAAAAAATGTTTTTATTCTTTTATTTTTTAAATATATTTTTATTTATTTCAGAGAGGAAGGGAGAGAGAGAGAGAGATAAAAACATCAATGATGAGAGAGAATCATCAATCGGCTGCCTCCTGCACGCCCCCTACTGGGGATTGTGCCCACAACCCGGGAATGTACCCTGACTGGGAATAGAACCATGATCTCCTGATTCATGGATTATGCTCAACCACTGAGCCACACCAGCTGGGCTCTTTCTCTTTTTTTCTATTTTTGTAAGTTTATTTGAGCCAAATTGACAACATATGCAGAGAAGCAAGATATCAAATGTCCCTTCGCCTCTTCACTGAATGGAAAACCTGACTACATGACCCTGTATCCAGACCAGATTTACAGAATCTTTGGATTAAAGTCTGCCCTCTGGGCAGGGGGAGGTGAAAACATGGGTGACACAAAGCAGCCTTGAGAGTTCAGGGATGATCTCCCAGGATAAGAGATGACTAAAGCAAATCAAAATTCTATAGACACAGTCATTTGTACATAATAATTACTTCAGCAGCCTTCACTTATTTGTCTAAATATACATCCCTAGAGGCATGGGACACCTCCACACAAAAAAAACTGACTAGAAAGTATGGTCCTGTTAATTCAAAACACAGTTTTTTTTAAGTCTTTATACCCAAGGCTGCTGTGTGTGTGTGTGAGCAGGGCAGGAATAAAATGTGCTGAGGGCCAGGGGAAATAAAATTATTTATCAAAGAAAAAAATCATAGACTGAAGAGTTCAGTTATGGACAACTGATATATTTCAATGATTCTAGATATGTTTTGAGTGTACTTAGAGGGTTAAAGCTCATTAAGATACCAGATGAAACTTCAAGTACATATCCATTACCAGGGTTAATAATTATACAATTTCCCAATCTGCAGAAGGCCACTTCAGTCGGAAAGACCAATACAACCATGATCCTTTATCTTTAGAGTGGTCAGAGTCTGATGAATGGGTCAAAGATTTATAAAACAGGATGAACTGTATCAGCAGGTTTTGTCTTTGCAGAACACTGCAACTAAAAATGCTTATTACAAAATACATGTAGTGAAAAGACAATATCTATCCTCTTACCAAACTAAAAACTCACTGTTAAATGTCTCCATTCTATCTTATCCAAAACACTAAGCACCATACAGTTATTCAATAGCATCAAAGGATAGAATAATAAGGCAGCATACAACTGTAATTAAAAACATGGGTTTTGAAGTAAGATGGATGTGATTTGTTAAAACCCAACTCTGCAACTTACTAAAAATGTAAACTTAAAATTGTTGACACGGGTTCATTACACTATTCTTTCTTTTTCTGTATATTTTGAAAACATCCATAATAAAAAATTAAATTTCTTTACATGTCAAGTGGGGATTAAGTTTCTTTATCTGTCAAATGAGAACAACATCAATTACTATCTGACAGTGTTTGCAAAATGGACCCAAACAACGTTAGTGTTAAACCTCAGAAACTCTAACCAGAGGGAAAGGGGGTGAGGGGAGGTAGAAGAGGGTATAGGGAAGATAAATGATGCCAGAAGGTGACTTGACAGGGTGTTAAACACACAATGCAATATACAGATGATATATTACATAACTGGACACCTGAAACCTATATAATTTCATTAATCAATGTCACCCCAATAAATTCAATAAGAGAAACTCTACACATACATACTTGGTGACACAAACAAAAACCAACCCATTGTATTTTCTTGAAGTTTTTTTTAATTGTGTATTTTTATACAGTTGTAACCATAAAATTGAATTTTGTATTTTGTTTCAACCCATATATGGTCACCTATAATCTTCCTAATCATTTTTACTGCTAGCCTAATATTTTAATAATGAATCTAATTTAGTTAGCCACTACTCTTTAGTTCATTAATTTGGTCTAAACTGTCACTATTATAGCCATTGCTGTAATAAATTATTTGGGACAGTAGCATTAATTTTCAATTATTTTTGTGATAAACTCCCATGTATTTGGATTATTGGGTCATATGGCTCTTGATATTTATTATTATGTTGTTTGCAAAAGAATGGACACTTTAGAATGCCATAAACCATGGCCGAGACTCTCAGTCTTACCACAACTTTGTTAGCATTTGAAAAAGTAAGTTTACTAGTTAGAAGTGCTTTATAGTTGCTTTACTTGCATTTCCCAATTGAAAAATAGTGAATTTTAAATTACATTTGGATTATTATCCTTAATATATGAGGAGTATGCAAGCATGTACAAATATGGACATACAAAGTAATAGAAAAACAGGTTAAGAAGACAGGCAGGTATATATCACAGAAAAAAACACATAGTTAAAAAGACTGAAAACATTCATTCTCCTAATAAAATGAAAGAAAAATTATAAATTAATGAGAAAACCTTTCTACCTATCAAACTAGCAAGCGTCCATGTAGAAGGCTCAGGGTGCAGGGAAGTGACTGCCACTGGCAGCAGTTTAAACTAGTAAAGCCTTTCTGCGAAGCGACCGGGCAGGGTACATCAGAGTCAAAGTCCTCCTCCCTCTGCACGTCCCACTTCTAGGAACATGATGAAAGGGAAAACAGGCTGTACATTCTCACAGACCTAGCTACAAGGATGTTCACAGCAGTGTGTGCATGTTAGAAAAGAAAATGTGCATTGATTGTGGTCTGGTTGAATAAATTATGATATAACCATACAAAGGCAAACACTGTAGCCACTACAACTTGTGAAGACTATAAAATATCATGCAAAAGTTTTTCTTCAATATACTGATATGTAAAATAAGGAGACTATAGAAAATTATGTATGGAAAGATTTTATTTATCTTAAAAAAAAACAGTATTCAGTTTTCCAGCATTAACTTTGAAGTTAGAAACCATTTCTTCTCGTATATAAAAAAGATGTGTGTTTTCCATAATGACTGGTACAAGTGGTGGTAAAAAAGTTGTTCTTTTATTCTTTAATCTTTTTTAATTTTAAAAAAATATGTTTTTATTCATTTCAGAGAGAACGGGAGAGAGAGAGAGACAGAAACATCAATGATGAGAGAGAACCATCAATTGGCTGCCTCCTACATGCCCCCTACTAGGGATCGAACCCACAACCTGGGCATGTGCCCTGACCAGGAATCGAACCATGACTTCCTGGTTCATGGGTCAATGCTCAACCACTGAGCCACACCAGCCAGGCCTTTAATCTCATTTAATCAATATAATTTGTTATCTTAATTCATTGTGCTAAGAAATAACACTGAGTGCCGAACCGGTGTGGCTCAGTGGATAGAGCCTCGGCCTGCGGACTCAGGGGTCCCAGGTTCGATTCCGGTCAAGGGCATGTACCTT